AATATGCACTGTATGCTCAGTGCTTGTCCGAGAGCTCGCGAAAAAACCTCACAAGCCTATTCGGGTGGGACTCGAACCCACGACCTCCTGCTTACTAGTGCAGATGTCTTAACCAATCGACCACCGAGCTTGCCGGGGTCGGCTGGCCGGTCCGAGTCAAATGAAGCAGCGGGTACCGCGAACTATTTTCAAGATGTATTTTCGCGTTGGGGAGACGCAAAATAGTTGGGGAGACGCACAAATACATCTCCCGAACTCCATTGCTACTAACGAAGGACAAAATAAGTCAGTTGACCTCACCCAGGATGATACATCACGTTGAGAAGTCTGGCTGAAATGGGTAGCGTTTTTATATCATTTTATAATCATTAACCCTTTAATGTATTTTGGAGGTTGCAAGTCGAAATGTTGTCGGGATCTACTTCTCTGTTTTAAATAATATAATGTAGGTATCTTTATTCAGTTTTAGGAGTTGAATAGTATGGCTGGTATCAGGCTACCTCCTTTCAGTTCTCAATAAATTGCTAATCAATACCCCTAAATGTAAATGACCACCTAATATTACTCTCCAAATTAGGGGGCAGCTGTAGCTTAGTTTAACAGATGATCGTGTGGTCTTACAGATGGCCACATTTATCAAGTTCCTTGCTCAAATTATTTTTTTTTTGTTCATTTACATATGTCAATTTATATATCAAATGGGGAAATATAAATATTTAAGTGATAAGTACGATTATGATAACAATGCTCGATGAAGTTACAATATGTCTTCATATTTGCAGTAATAAATCTTAGTTCCACATGACACGCAAAGTTAAAAAACGATACATCCTGCTGTAGAAAACAGTAAACTCACAGTGTAAACCGAGTGTCTAGTTTCTGTTATTGGTTATTCCAATTTTGTGTTCTTGTTTAGGTTAGGTTTGGAGTATCTTCATAATGCCAAGTAAAATAAAGATTGGTGATCATCCTTTTGGCTCATAAAGCGAAGGTATCGGGACGATTTTTTGTGTTTAAATGACAGCAAGTTTATGAGGACACTAGTACAGTCCAACTCTGTTATAAAGAGGTCCTTGGGATTGGTCTATTACCTCAATTGTTACAAAAGGGACCTTGTATTTATATTAGGAATAAAAACCAGTGAAAAGTGAAAACCTGTAAAAGAAATATAAAAGACCGAAAAGTACCGGTAAGCTTGGAGTTAGAAAGAAATGGGTTGGAGGCATTTTGGAGGGTTGGGTGGGGATGATCACCAGTTTGTTTGTTTTTTAAAAGCCTAGTGATGACGTTTTGAATTGAATTCTACATTAAAACAGTGGCATATGGCTGGGGTCTTCTCACATGGACCTGACCCAGCGTTGAAGGGTGATTCCTTGCAAATGTCATCCTGGTTTTCGACATTAAGGTTTTTTACACACAAAAAACCCCGATTATTTGGGGCACTTGAATGTGAAGGCAGAAAATGATGAAAAATAGCCAACATTAATTACTGATAGCTAGCACGCCACTATCTTCACAATGTATTTCAGGAATAATTACCTTTCATTTCGAACGGTTCTTGATCTTCATCAGTAGCCATCCCAATGCTGATCAATTCCATCCAAGTTTATGGTGCATCTCAGATTGCTGACTGGATATCGCTGTTAGTCATCATCGTCCAATGTGACCTTACACGCCGATGCTTTGCAAGCGTGAAGTTAGTTATTATGAGAAGGATTTTCCTAGGGAGTGCAGCTGTAATTTCTTTGGCATCTTTTACTTGGGTGATATGGGAAATTTCAACTGCAACTTCTTGATGGTGTAATAAAACATAATGATTTTCAAGATGTACTTTGTGCAGGGGGAGATTTTAATCTTTTTTTTAATATGAGTTTTTTCCCCTTACCCAACGAGCATATTGATTAGCACTCTTTACTCAGAGCTTGTTCGATGTATATAAATATATACGTTTATACGTTGGGTAAGGGCAAAAAACCGTATTTAAAATAGTGAGTCTACGGATTTTTCTGCCGTTTTGAGAACTGGCCATAGAAGCTTTTGTTGCATGTCTGTCAATCATAAATCATAAAGGCAAGTTTGTACACACAACAAGCAAATGTAAAAGCGAAACGAATTTGCAGCAAAATTTCGCTCGAGTTGAAATGTGTTCAACTTTTGAAAATTCTAGTCACAGCGCGAACATTTTGATCTGACTTTACAATTTGCGTTATGTATGGTCTTTGCGTACACGCAGAGCACCTGCAAGAACCCGCTTGTAACCACGTCTTTCTTTCGCCGATTGGGGGTGCACTTCAGCTCGGGGCGGATTATTAATTCACTTATAGCGGATGCTGGTGTTAGCGAATCAACGCCAGATCACAAGATCGCGAAAGGCGTCTTGTACCGAAGACGAAGCAGTCTATGAAACCCGGCTCGTCTTCGGGGAGTGGAGTCTTGGAGTACTAGCCATGAGTGGATCAAGCAGCATTGGGGGAGGCAAAATAATCACCTTGTTTGGCCTGTTTTAGCGGGGACGTAGTGCTACATTTTGGGACTTCTTATAAACTTTGGAGACATCTTGATTTCGTAGTTTTTCATGCATGTATTAGGCTCCTTTAATTGGGGGACCACTCCTCGCTGCACCCGGATCTCCATTGCTACTAACGAAGGACAAAATAAGTCAGTTGACCTCACCCAGGATGATACATCACGTTGAGAAGTCTGGCTAAAATAGGTAGCGTTTTTATGTCATTTTATAATCATTAATATCCGCACAGGGAAGGGAATGTAATGAGATATGTAGCTGGTATTTTCGTGCATAATTTCACCCATCTGTCAAATATCGTGACATGAGCATACCGACTGCTGTTACCTGCTGTTACCAGCTGAGTTAAACTTTATAAAAGATGCGAGAGGTGCGTCTGCTTGTCATTACGATAATCAACACGCTTGCAGCCTGCACGAGATACTTCAGCACTACGAAATTGACTTGGTCTCAAGAACAGCACGTAAGTTCCATATTTTCAAAGAAAATCCTTTGAGCGACCACCAGTGCATAATAACTTGAACGGGAGTTTCATGCGCACGAGACTAAGAGCACCAGTTCAAACGACGGGTCTTTATGTTAAACATATTGAGCTTTGCTTTTCTATTGTAATAACTTGAAGACCTTGAGTGAGCGTGATCTTTAAAAATTAAAAAGCTTTCCAATTTCCATTTTCTTTGACATATACCAGTCGAAATGAAGTCAATCACCTTGGTTCTTCTCGTTTGCTTGGGAATTGTCCTCACTAACGCTGCACCCGCAGGTATACAGCTTTATCCTTTGATTTTTTCTCCATTCACTTTGAAAATGACAGTGTGCCGTCTCTGTGGAATATGATTTGAACGCCAATATCTCTATAGGCCAAAAAAGACTCTGGTTTCTGGTCATGGGTGTGGTCTAAAAGCGGTGCGGTGACGCGGTTTTTCCCTCTTGTTTTCCTTAGCGTATTGCGTTGTTACTATGAGAAGTATAGATACACGAATGACGTAATGGGTACCCGACTGTAAATGTACGGTATGGAGGCCCATAGGGGATTCCTTCACTGTACATTGTACATATTACCCAATCCCACCCATCAAAAACACGTTAAAATTACGCGGTAGCAGAATTCCTGCCGACCAAGTAAGTTTGGCAGCTTTTGGAAATCATTTTATGCAAAATAAAACAGTTCTTCATTTTGCCGACGCGCAGGTCTACAGCGACGCTCGCGGCGACCAGAAACCGGAGACTTTTTGGGGCCATATCTGCATTTTCATATTATCTATCTTTACCTTCTTTTCAGAGTCTCCAAACGCGTTGGACGAGAAAGCAGAAGATCTTCATACCCGTATATGTAAGAATCGTTGTAAAAATATTATTTCCTTATATATCTTAGATTTTTGATATATATACTCACGTTCTGAGTATACTTTTGTTTCACTTAATTTAATGGAAGGGTTTGCTTAAAGAAATCCTTTGTTTATTATTTGTCTTCCTTTTCTTATGTGAAAAAAAATCACTTTTTAAATTTCAATCCCTTTCATGCGGCTGAGAAAATGTGCCTTTTGTCGATTTATAGTAGAATTCGTAGTTCAACTGCATATTTTGCTTTTCCCATGATCATGTTCAGCGATAACAGCCATAACACGTCGTAGCTGAAACGCCCTCAATATTTACCATGAGCTAGTTCGCTTATTTCAAAACAGCAGGGTCATTCGATACCACTGCATCGTGGGACTGCCGCGCTGATGGGACCATTTTGATTCGCACGAATCCGGATCGCGATCTTGTGACGGTTGGTTCACTCACAGACACAAGAATCGGTCGCGTATAGTGAATACATGTACTGTACTAGGCCGGCACATACTTAATGCGAAAGCGAACACAGGCGCGAATTTGTGAAGTCAGATTAAAATGTTGGTGCTGCGAATTTGCAAAAGTTGAACACATTTCAACTCGAGCGAAAGTTTGTTGCAAATTCGTTTCGCTTGTACATTTGCCTGTTGTACGTACAAACTTGCCTTTATGATTTGTGATCGGCGACTAACAAAAAGCATCAACCGTCACATCAACAATAGCTTCAAATGCCAGTTCTCAAAACGGCAGAAAAATCCGTAGACTCACTATGTAGTATTGCACCATCCCCTAAGAGCGTGCAGAAAAGCACGGTCACACTGGATGATGCCTTACGGCGACGTCCAGTCAACAGTCTGAGATCTAATGGAGTTGACCAGCGTTGAGATGACTGTTGGGATGACTTTGTGTGAAACTGCGACAAAAAGCTTGCCTAGGAGCGCACGCTACAGTTGATGTAATCCGCCCCGAGTTGAAGTGCACCTCCAAGCAGCAAAAGAAAGACAGACGGTGGTATACAAATACAGCATGGTTTGAGGGGAAGTTGTGGAAATGACTAGTCTCTTGGTGTAGGTCAGTTTGACCAGAGAGGAAGGACACAGAAGGAGTTGCAACTCAGGCACTTCAAAGCGTCCAATGATGGTCGCCGCCGAGTCTGACGAATAATATAAAACATTCCAAAAATGCTTGATTACTGCTGCATCTTAGCCGGACAAGCAGGGTCAGTAATGTCCCAGCAATACTTGTAGTTTTTTGCTTACAATTAAATACAAATCATCCCTGTGACCAGGAAATAGAGAGTGAAAAATCCCTGATATTATACATACTTTTGTAGGCGTAAATAAACTTTTTAAATTTTGGTACACTGTTCCGTTATCCATGCAAAGTTTGTAATTTTATTCTCCGCCGTCCAATACATCAGAGTCCAAAGGCTTGGTACGAATTTGGCTAAGACTGGCCTACAAAATGTTCACTTCTACGGGAAAACTTAGTTCATTTGGAACAAAAGGCACTATTTCATCACAGATAGTGATCGTGAAATCTCATAAAATACGCTTTTGTACAAATGTCGCAATAAAAATATTTCAAACAAAACACAAAATCTTGTAAACAACCTGTGTATTTCCAAACTTACTCCAGAAGAAAGAGCTCATTAAGGGCAATGACTGCACATAGAGATTTAGGGCACATAGCGTAATGCCAGCAACTGCGCAAGCGTTAAAGTTGATGTCATGAGGTATGAATATTCAATTTCCTTTACCTCAGTATACACAGATTACCAGCGAAAAAAATGTGGCCTTCCTCTATGGTTTGACTACATCCGCTTCGCGGGGGGGAGTCAAACTTATTCAGTAACAAAGTTGCTGTGCTTGTCAATTTCGTCTTTGTTATAAAGATCACTTGCTTTTGGGCGTGTGATTAGTAAGGGATATTGCAGCATACCTGTGTATAAAAATCGTTTAAAATCAGGAGTGAGTTTTTATGTGTGGCCTTTGAAAGAAGTGGCAAGTTTCGTTTGCTGTCCAGTGTATATAATTTGTAATCCAATCACTATTTCGAATTTCTGTATTGGAGATCTATTAAACCGAAATAAATAAATAAAAAGGAATAAAAAATGTTCTCGAATGACCCATGACGCCCTTCATTTTGAGCTCGCGCTGCTTAATATGAACGGACTAGCGAATTAGAGGCAACGTTATTTTCGGGAAACAATATACATGAGGTTATACAACAATACATGATGTACATAGACAATCAAAGTGACCATTCTGTATTAAGGATAACTATTGCCATTTTCTTTCAGTTTTCGATTTCTTTTTTATTTCGGATTTTATTTCTTCCTTTACAGCATGTAACCCGTTTGAGTTGGGCGGGAATCAGTGCCCACAACCTTTGGTTTGTTCAATGTATGGTCGTTGTGAGTGGCAATAGATACACACCTGTCGCAAATACAGGGCGTCGCTCGCCTATTCGTGAGCACGGTGAGTGTCGACCTAACACTTGCAATTCGGAGAGAGAGGGAGACCTTAACATTTCAGTCGGACCATGGATGTCATGTTTGATATTGAACACACTCCTTCATGGTTGGAATTTAAAGAGATAGAGAGTCTTGGCTTCAAGGAAGCAGTTGTTATGCATTTATAGAGTTCTTTGGTGTCCTCTTCAAGGGGCCGGGTACTTCATTTTAAGTGTGCATGCGCAAAACGTCGATTTGATACCTAAACCACTATTACAAACGTAACAAGACCCTGTCCAGGAGAAGGCTATTTTCGGTCTTGTACCCTGAATCTGTTTTAAATTTTGTAAACAGTTGAATAAGATAGCTCAAGATAATTTCTGTGATTAGCGTGAGTTCAAAACCTACACCTCGCTTTTAATGTTTTTCTTGAAAATCTGGGTCAAAACGTTAATCCAATCAGAAAATATAATTTTACGTGACATTTCATCGTTAACAGCTTCTTTTCCTCTCCAATTCACCAAATCAAACTGAATCTTGCTTTCAATTTAATGTAGTCGATTCATTCAATGTACTAAGAATTGCGTCTTTGATTTGTGCCTACCAAAAAATAAGATTTAAGATCATGCACAGGGGAACAGGTAGACCCGATCGTGTACAATCGTTGTAGACATGAGTACATTGATGGGCCAAAATCTCACTTTACATGTAAAACGATGCATTCTTTCAGGTCTTTCATTCTATAGTTTATTTCCTGTCGTCAGAATGGACCCTAACAGTTGAATTCTACTTTGTGTGGGCTTTTCTTTTGCACAGAGCCTCAGGCAGTGATGAATCAGATGTCGATGATGAACGCTCAACTTTCATTGCTTTGCTTCTGGTAGCGGGATGCATGTTTCTGTGTATTAATCAAGTATTTTCACCAAAACGGGGGTTCAAAATAACGGTTAGTCCGGCAGCCCACGATGGAAAATTGTAGTTTGAATTTTAATTCCAATTTAGTGTTGTTCTACAGATAAAAAGATTGGTACATAATTTGCCAATTGACACCAGTAGTCTAATCATCCGTCAGTAATGGCCATGAAGGAGCAAGCAGGGGTTTATTTTCGATCAATTAAACTAAGCATATCTGCCGTGTTAATTGAAAGAATGATTCTCCAGATTCAAGAGGTAACCTGATTTATCTGCCCAATATTTGACCTTGCCTCATGCCAGGTTTAAAGGATCCACGAAATGAATTTTTCTCAGAGGCACTTTTTGCGTATCTCTGCACTCTTTCTTCAACGTATAAGGACTGTTTGACATCTCTTTTGAGTTGCATGAACTGAAAAGTGCAAGTCTTAAGCTTAAAAATTGACAAAGCATGTATGGACAAGTGAGGGCGCTTTTGCTTTGATGCAAATCCAGGAAAACCTGGTTCATGCATGTTTTGATGTTCAAATTGTTTTGTTCAAATATGCTCTCAGAAAACATTTCTGTGAAAAGGTTGTTTGCTGGCTTATTGCCATATACTTGTACTCAACAATAAATTGCCAAAGGAAATTAAATCTACAACAGCTGAAGAAATCTAGAAGTTTGCTGTGTACAAATCAATGCAGCATTGAGATTCAGTGCCTTGGATGACATTATAGATTTGCTCATGAATATTCAAAGTTCATTAGCATAAAACAAAAAAGCTGAAAAATATACGTGCGAATTGCAAAACAGAAATTTTAAATAAGTTAATTGAAACCCAAAGGTGCCGGCAATTTCAAGAGTTATAATAAATGCATGTATTTCTATTTCATAGTCCCGTTAATTAAGCAAATGTTGTCTTTCAAAGTCTATTTGCTTTCAATGAAGTGTTGACTTCGAAATAAAACACCCTCTATAGTAGTTAAAATACAATTTGACACGTCGAGTTTTAATTTTCATTATATATGTAGAGGCTTTGCGTAGTGGCCATATTGCAGGGCAGTTCTGTTTCACAGGGAAGCCGCCCCTTTGTACATACCATGCAGAACAAAAGCACTGGTCTGCACGATAACAATATGACATTGCCTATACTGGGACCTAAAGGACCTCTCTTGATCCTTTGAAAGAATAGATAAAAAGCATGACCGTATGACGTTGCGAACACTTCGCCAAGGAAAGTACAGTTGCCCAACAAATATCTCAAGAGGGCTCCCTGCACCAAGGCCGTCTCAGTATATCACTTTTGTTCATCGTATAGACCCTTTTCGTGTGATGTCACAATCGTGCTGGATGTGTTGTGATGGTAATGAGTGCATAGTGTTGTGATGGTAGTCTACTTATTCAAAATAAACTAGTCAAGCATGCAGCGTTCACACGTCTTCTATTAAAGCCCGAAAAATGACAAAATGAGTCCCGCGAGTAACAGAATCCGGACGATAAGTCGCTTTACTGGTTTGCCGCGGTTAATTAATTAAACTAGGAGGAACGCGTACCCAGCCCACGGAGTCGAGGTTGATGCACGCCTGCTCAGAACACCGCGCTCGTGCTCAGAACTGGTAAAAAGGACCGGTTTGTCTGCCGCCACCAAACCTCTCAAAATCTCCCTTACATTCTAATAAGCCAATTCTGTCTTCTACAAGACGGGGTCATTCGTGATACAGAGAACCGCACGACTTCCAATGGCTGTCCAGGGAATACTGTCAAAATCTGTTTCATGAGTTTTGTTCATTCACTGTTAGAATTGAGTACCAAAGTGATTAACACAAATATTAGCTTAAGAACCAGTGCCTAAGCCAACAAGCGTCCGTACTGCGTTTACACTACACTTCCTAGTTCAAATTTGACGTTACTCTGTACCAGGATGGCTCACTCAAAATCATGGACATTATCCATATGTATAAATCTGCATTCACCTGGGCACACATGCACCTCGTTGGTCATGCAAATGCCCCTCCAGTTAAAAACTAAATCAAAAGTACGATTGAAACAAAATCACAAATAATTTGTGAGCACTTTCGGTGAATGTTTATTTTTCAACCTTTACATCTTAAACTTACACTGGTTGCACTGAGATGCTTGTGCTTGTAATTAGATACAACATTGACCTTAGGCATCGCCACTGAAGCATTGTCGTAACGTTAGTTAAAAACAAAATTTGATATGCCATTTATAGGGAAATCCAATAAGTCCAATATCATGCGTTGAGTATTGCAGAGCACAGATATGAGTTAAAGACCTCAATTTTAACTTCTCTTGGGAAAAAAGAAGAGAATTTTCACTGCCGATTGCGTGATGTCAGGATTTATTCATAATCGTATTTATGAATGAACTTTCTGGTTATTTCTTAAAGGGTTTAAGAACAGCAATATGCTCTTGCAAGATCCGTGTTGGTTTTAGTTGGTATCCAGCCTTTTTGCTGTCCAGCCGAGCGGTACTTGCGATAGCACCCAAGTCTTAAATCGGCCGAAGTGCATTCGACGACACGCGCGACCTTTCCAGCTACGTCAACCAGGCCCCATTGGTCAATCTCGATGTATATGTTATAGGCTTCCTTCAGTTGGTCGAGAGAGCAGAGTTTGAACCCTTCACATCCCTCACAGCGCTCACGGGCCGCTACAAGATCTGTCGGGTAGTATCCCGGAGTTAAGAACACCTTACTCTCTGGAAAAACAAGGGTAACAAAATAATCAAAGAAATTGAATGAAAATAAGGTAAACCTTGCAGACCGATGCTGAATAAAAATAAGCAAGAAAGGGCTTGTGACATGGAATTTATTAGATGTTCCTTAGATTTCCCATTTCACCTCAGTTTCAATTTTGGTGAGCCTGCTCATTTTGCTATTAATGCTTAAGTGATTTAAATCTCGTAATTCTGATGCCACGCACAGTAGAAACATCTACGTTTTTCCTGGAATTAAACAGTTTGCCGTCAGATTTTTTTTACTCGTTTCAGTTCAAAAAGTTGGCAAACGAACAAAGGTTTGTCTACAATTCAGTTATTAAATACTAGGTTCACGCTTCGAACAAGTAACCAGTTATATTTACAATGTCATACAATCCGCATCTCAATCACTTCGATCAATGCAGCTTGATATTGCACATACACGACTTATGGGAAATGGCTATAACCACTTCCATAGACTCGTGCGTTATTTCAAGCCACAGCCAAGTAATTCAGACACGTGGCTAAACCCCCTTAAATTAAAACGAAAAGTGATCTTATGGCCATAATTTTGCATTTCAAGTGAAAAAAAAACGGAGGCCAACCCCTTCCCGAGAGTCACCAGGCGGCACCATTTCGGTCTGATTGCACTGTTTTCTATGGGCGCATGCTAGTGCAACCGTCATCAAAGCATGTAGCAGCGCCCTCAATTGTCCTGAAAAGCATAAGACTTCCACAGTATTTGAAAACGCGCATTTCCACCACGTACTCGTAAAGACAAAGTTCAGACAGTAGTATTGCATTTTGAGACAAGACAGTTACACACAGCAAACATTTAGGTACATGTACATCGTGAACCCTTAAAAACTCCAGTGCACTTCGTGTCTGCACGCAGGACCATGTTGATGAAGTTTCCTCTAAGAGCCAGAACAGCAAATCATAAGAATAATACGTCATCAGCATGTTGAAATGTAAATAACTGTTTTTAAAATACAGCTCTCAAATTAGAGTTTTTTTTAATCCATTCTCGTACCTTTCTTGTCAATCTTTGAGTTCCCGTTTTAAAGGTATTTTGAAGGACCCACTTCTAGGGGTATGCTAAAAGCAGATTCAGCATTCTTCAGTAGAAATGTAATCTCAACAAGAAATATTTCGTGTTTACGTGATATTACAAACAAAATTAATGAAGGTTGCCTCATTGTTTCATACAGTAAAAATGTCATTTTCAGAGATAGCACCCATTTCATGACATATGGACTTATACCCTTAAAGGTTTAGGATGCAACTTACTCGGCCATTCAGTCGGGCACAAACTTGAACTGCTAACAAAATCCATACACGCGACACCAAGAAGCAAAGTCACAAACAGACGAAGCGCCATCTGAAACCAAAATATATTAAGAACCATGCTCGCACACAACATAATTGACTCGGAATATAAGGTGGTTAATAAAAAAAAATACAAAGAGAGGCACACCATTAACAAACAGAATGTGGTCTCCACGGGAAAACGTAGTGGTAAAATACGAAGTCTTGGCCATAAATTTGTGTCTTGGATGCTAACGTATAATTAGTAGCACCAGGGATGCTGGAAGCAGCAGCATACCAAGGATTCTCACCGTGGGGGGAAGGAGGTTAGTGGGAGAAGTGGCTGTTCTAGTAGGGGGTGCACTGAGGTCCAAATATTTTCTTAATAAAACCATACTAGTTTCTTTGTTTTTCCAAATTCCGAGGGGGGGGGGACTGGGGACAACGAGTTTTTAGAGGGCGTGTACCCTGCAATTCCCCTCCCACGTCTAGCCCACCTTCGCCTCTTTTGGAGTACCAACGCAAAAGTCTGAAATTCTCCTGCTGGACATCACAAAATCTTAATCCTGCTTGACTTACAAGATTCTCGAGAAACCCACTGAATGCTCACTAATAGCTGAAGTTCCACTTCGTTTATGTTCGAGATCAAGTGGAAAATCAGTGTTCGAGGGCAATTCACTCTAGGCCTCCGTTCTCAACGACACACACACACTCCCAACCACTTTGGTTTGAATTTTTCAAAGACTGACATTCAACTCGAGTTTCTATTAAGAGGTTTTTTTCCAAATCTAGATTTGGAGTGATTTCCTTTATAAATCATCTTCTGAAAATGAGAGATTTCTAAACTCACCCTTTCTAGATCCACCTCTTGATTTACAAAGCACCGGAAAATTGCTCAACTCTGACTCGCTGAGGCGACAGACTTGTTTACTCCTGTTTGAAGCCAAAATGAATCTCAGTCGGCATCTGCCCCGGGACCTTTTATACACGTCGCCGCATTCTGAGCTGAATTACCGACGCCTGGGGCTCTGCTTCCAGTCACAAACACCAACAGCAATGAATCCCCGATTGTAAGTAAGTTAATCCTATACCTTTGTTTTTCATAATAGGGCTAAGAATTCATGGTTTTGCATCCACACCATTAAAAGAGCACGAATGCTCTTAAAAGCCTGAAGAGACAACCAATCAGCAGGGAAGCAAACGATTCGAGCGGAATACATGGATAGGGCCTTAGAATTCAACGTCCTCGAAATTCCGCCAGGTCTGCTGATCTTTTCAGGAAGCCCTGACTGGATCATCGGCATTATCCAACTGCATTAAAACCCAGAGCGCAGAACGTTAACGTTGGCAATTTTGAAAATACCCAGGTCTCTAGCTACTTTGTTTGCATTAATTCCCTGTATTCCCGAGAGAGTAGGGTTCATAGCATTGTTCAAAAGTCAATCAATCTCTGAACGTCCGTAGTCTACGAGGGCAAATGAAGGGATCAACGGACTTTGTTTAGTCGACATTTCATGCAATTGGAATTCCAAACTAGACGAGACTGCAAACCAGGATTCGTCACCATTTGAAGCGAGATATGAGACGGAGAGCACCCCCCCTCCTTTGTGTTGGTCATTGCTTGATCCCAATCTCAGGGGTTCTTTTCAGACATCTGGGGGACGTGTTAGGTAACAATAGTCTAGAATGTGTCCAGGGATTGGACTTAAAGTAGGGGTACCCCTCAGTCCCATATCTTGATGGGTATATTCGTCACTGTTCGCCATATTTTGCAGGGTCCAACAGCAAATACTGCACCTTTCCATGAAGCTATTAAAAAAACAGCTTGATCAAAGATGGACCCAGAGATAAATTTTGGAGGGGCGATTCGGATGGAATGTAATTCTCTGAAGGCCTACATCTTGCTGCTGTTTCCACACATTTGGAAAGAAGGGAAATGAAAGATCCAAAAATTGGTAAAAGTTGGGCTATTTGCGGGGTATGGCATCTGTGCGTGCCGCCGTGCCGAATATGATGCTGATCGATCGTTGGTTCACGTGTCGTTGTCACGAACGTTTGAGTTATTCTGCCTAATTAGGAATTAAGCCCAGGAAGGGAGAATACGGTTGCTTCAATGATTTCTTCATGCTGATGAAAGGCATCGCAAATCCACATGAGCTGATCTCTGCCAAAAACTATTGCATGTCACTCTGCAACGTTATAAGATAGAGCACCCCATTAGGGGTAATTAAAAAATGTTCTTGACAGAGATCAGCCACCGTACCTTTTACGTGCGTTTGTGGGTAACACGTGGCTGCATTCAGGGTGTCTCCTAAAAGACGCATCCAAATAAAATTATAGAAAGAACCCATTAAAGCCGCAATGTATCGAGTGTGAAGGCTTATTAGAACTCCTAAACCTCATCTCATCTCTCAAATCCAGGGTACTTTTTTACAACATCATTGTACAGCAGAAATACACAAACACTGACCGAACGTAGCTAGAGGACTGTCTTTATTATTTTGTTAATTAAACCACTGAGTTCCAGTTGATAACAAGTACGTCGACTATGTTCAGTGTATGTACATGTGAGTTAAGTTCAGAAACTGGTACTGTATTACTGTCTTTCACTGAATGATACCGCGTAGGGCATAGACTGCACGGAAAGAATATTAAAATTCCGGCTCGGAATTCGTCACCTCTCTAACGAGTTCGAATTAACAACTTTTGACTTTCGTGATAAAACTAAACACGTTTTAAAAAAAATGAAAGTCTAATGCAATTCCTCACGTGTCATTTCCAATCACTGCCCGGAAACATACATGACAAGGTTCCCCCAAATCAGTCCTGGGTGACAATGCTGCGTCAGAAGCTGAGGAAGTTGATGAATATTCAAACATAAGTTGTATCTTACACACCCGAACAGAAACCAATGCATTAAAAAGTTGCCGGAATCGTAATTTAATACAGTACACGTACATATATCTCCTACACAACTATTGGGTACGACAGTAACACTTCTGTTCAACCCTGAACTTGACGATGTTTCTTAGAGAAGCCTGTTTTTTCTTTTCTCGTCTTGATGATCTCATTTCTCGATCCCTGTCTGAGGAACTTATTACGTAACTGAGATTTCTTTGGGCTGCAGTACGGACTTTTTCTCAGGGTCTTAAGGTAGTAGCTTCCATAAGAACTACGGCTCCAGGCGGCCTCGTATCCCATGGAGGGACAATCTCCGCGACCACACGACCGGCATTTCCCTGTCAAGAAGTCAGCCAACTCCTGGCAGGGCACGGAAGGAAACTGGCAGGTATCTCGCAGGCTCTGGATGAAGTAGGCGTGAGATCTTGCGTGACTGCATCCGAGCATCCACCATCTACATCCGGGTTGGTTCTGACCTCCATTGGGATAGAAATCCATGTGTCCTATCTACAAAAAGACCCACAATAATTATATTTTCGCATCGTTAGCTAAACATTTTCATACAATCCTCCTGTCTTTCAGTACAATACTTTCCCTCGATAAAAATTCATGTCAGTGGAAAAAATGTAGGTTTTACCCTAACGATCCTTCGCGCATAAATCATGCTGGATTTTTTTAAAGTGTAATTTGTGTAAATTTGTGTAAAGTAAATGTGCATGGACCACCATTTCGATTGATTCCAAATTTGCAACACAGAATACACATGTACTATTCCTTTTCGACTTCAATTTCCTTGGTTATTGGTGTGCTATGTTTCATTTGCCGTTACTGACATCGAACACAATGTTGCATCGGTACCTTTTGTTCGATACCGGCCCCGCCTTCCAGCAAGCTATTTGAACTTGTGTGAATAACGTCGACAAATTTGGCGTCACTTCTGTCCAATCGGCAATCAGCATCGGTGTTTTCAAACCCGGGGCCAGCCGCGTCTAAACCTGCATGTGAAAGAGTGCAGCGAAGGAAGGAAACGGTGCATGTCATTTTAGCGACCAAGAATAAGGCAAGAACAACAAGCCAAACTACATTACAAAAAAGATACCAAAAAATAATTCGTAGATTATCCAATTTTCCTGAAGAGGGAGCATCCAGAACACGTGAGCACCATGACTGTTGTTTGAGATTGTATGCCTGGCAGAGAATACTGTTTCGCAAATGTTTGTAATGAGCAACGATCAGCCAAGAACCAACTACAAGCAATCTTGCGATATTTGGGCGGGTAACCTGCTTCCATACTCATTACAGGAAATGTTTCTCCTGCTGAGTAAATTATTCTGCTTGGCGTCTGATGTCCTAAAAGCATTGCTGCCATCCTGGAAAGGGCGGATTTCTAATATGCTGCATATATGACATTTATTCTTGTCTGAGGTTCATTTTGTATGGCAGAGGGGCATTCTTGCTTTCTTTATAATTTACAGTGTAACAGATGGCTTACTTACACCCTCCTACCAGGCAGGCTTGAGATACTCTCACATTTTTCTTCTTTCTCACAAATAAAGCCTTGAGTAAATCTTCGCTGATATTCGCTTGAGCGTACACTCCTATGTCACCTTGCTCGTACACATGTGCGTACTTCACTGACCACAGCAAGTACCTAACTTAGCGCCTGTTAAAGTTCCAGCACGGGGACCTTGAGACTTTTGTCTGAAACCTATGACAATCTTCCCTTAAAACCATTATATTTTAGCACAGTTCAACCATCGAACTCACCAGTGATGCGGCCAATATTCCGGAGTCGTTTCCCGGCATACCCCGCGGCGTGTGCACCCAAGCTGTGTCCAATCAGATGCACCAGCGTTCGATCCAGACCAGTCTCAGTGTGTAGATATCCGACTGTCATGGCCACTTCACGTCCTACCACGCGGATATTCTGAACTGATTTCATGTAATTGAGTTCATCGGCACCCTCTTCCCAGTCCACGGTTATCACGTTGAAATCTGCCTGTTTTTATACAACATAAAAAAGGACCACTCAATTCAATTTGGACAAAGATAATCGAAAAGAAAAAAATAGTAGTTCACTCTCTAAATTTCGAAATTCACTTCTCTCCGAGTAAAAATGCAATTCCTCTGACTAGGGGACGAAACGAATTTGAGTAACATGCCCTCACTTGAAATAAATCAAAATTTCATTCGAGTTCTTACAGGGAAGTGGTTCTGTTCAAGTTTTCAATCTAAATTCAAACTAAATTTCACGTTAAATTTAGAGATTACATCAGATGTAATGTTACATGTTTGAGTTTTGCTATGAATTTTCTCACTGTGTCGAAGTAGTGAAACATATTTGTGTGTATACATGTACATTAAAATCAGTCCCAAGGTGATCTCCTCGGGGTTGTCAGAAATCAGGTTCAGGTCAAGCTCTTGCACGAAGTCTTGTGACAAAATTGACAAACCTTATCAAGTAGTGCGTCTTTAAGCTCCTTCACCCAGGCTTTATTGTCCGTTTCACCCCATCCGTGTATGATGACAACGGTCCTCCGTTTCGCGTTGAAGTGCCGCCGCCAGCTACGCTCCGCACCATCCGTGCGATTCAACGTGGCTGGCGCGTCGCGATTCCCCCGGGTATGCAGCGTGAATCGAGTGCCTATCTCTGCCGGTCGCATCGGGGGGAAGAATTCCTTGTGGCACGGTAGCTCGTTGGAGAAACACCCTAGATCCCCGTAGCAAACGGTGTCACACAGTCCTACGGGAGAAAACATTATGTTGTCAACCGCTGCAGTAAAAACTTAACATCACTAGACAATAATGTGAAACCATTTTTGATCAGCTGTTAGCAATAACGGGCTGAGTTTGAAATTCATTTCGTATAATGTTTCTTTCTTAAATTGACAGAATAATGTATGCTTGACATCCGTCACTCACTGCCAATCACTTCTTGGGTTATTAAGCAATAGCAAAGTATCATGACGTCAGCTAACAGAGGTGGTCCCGGTCAAAATGAATCCATCTGTTTAGGGGATGGTATTGCGTCTCCTTTTGTTTTTGAATCTTTGGAGCCTACAAGGGATATACCCAGCCCTGTCACCCCTTTGTAAATCCGCCAGTGCAGTTTTGAAGGCACCCCAGTATAAACAGAAATCCTTTTGCAAAAAAATGTGGTATAAGTACCCTTGTTAAGAGCTTTAATTTCTTCCAAGTGAAATCCCAACACGAGCCAACACGAAGCGGTACGCTGAGGTACTTACCAGCCCAGTGGCAAAGTTCCTCCAGCCAGTGCACCGGTCCCCAGTCGTTCAGCCAAGAATCTTTGCACCACACGGACTCCGCTATACATGGACGTGAATATCCAAAACGCAACAAGATCACTAATGCATAATGTCTCCCAAATAGCTACATCATCAAAACTGTTCCAACAGATGAGCATCCCTTTTCCCCTGAAACTACAGGTCTGCAGAAAACTGCTAACACAGTGTTACTTACAAAGGCTCTGAAAAAGACTTGTATGCAAACTTGAAGCGGACTTGGATAGCAACCTCCCCCCAGCCCTAAGCTCTGCTCCAAGGTCCTTTGCTGTGCCGATGTCGCAGCAAAACGCTTCTGACATTTCAATCACCTCGGTCCAATTTCTGTCTTGCACTTACTTCCAAAAAAATCTATATATAAAATATAACTATGAACGTAGTGGCTCACCTTCTGACAATCCCAGAAGTATCACAAACAACAGGGAAAATCTGTTGGTCCGTCTTGCCGTCATCGTCAAAGTGTATGTGAGTGACAATCCTCGTGACAACAAAAGCACAACTGCAACCAAAGGTGATACCGATAACCTTTATTGAAACCACTCCTGGGAACGGGTGCACGAGATCCACAGAAATACCCCGATACCCTTAATGAAAGATCAGAATATAACCATCATGGTGATTGTTTTTTTTTTTTAGATCTGAACAGTGAATCTCTTCTACAAAGCAATGCCACGTTAAGTAATAAGTTCTGAAACTCTATTCAAAATGTATAAGGCCTTGCATTCATAAAAATAGAGACATTCTATTAACCCTAACAGTCCTCAGTCCTCCAACAGGTGAAGGATTGAGGAGTGTTAGGGTTAATTAATGTCTATTTTTCAGGGCCGATACAGCTTAAAAAGAAATACAGCTTTCAAACGTACAGTTGCAGAGTGCAAGGAAAAGAGCTTGACACAATGCGAATTAGTCCAACAGTGAGGTATGTGACTTTGTAGCTTTGATCTGAGTTTCTTGAAATGGAACACTTGCTTTTCACCTTAAGTTTCGACCATTAAATTTATCTCAACAAGGCCACCGACAGAGCTTCAGTGAGGGTCGGCTGTAAATCAATAACCGTCTTATTGAGAAAGAATCCTACAGCGATGGAAGAGGGCATGAAAATCAGGGTTGTCTGACCAGTGGTGAAATTAGACTGAAAACCTCAGTTTTTAGCAATTTGTGACTCTCAAGGCCGGGATAAGACACGAGGGCAAATGGCTAACAAAGAAACAAATTGCCTCGCACTATAACCAGTTATAGATCAGGTATAAAATGAGTGAATTTCTCGTAGAATTTGCCCAAAATCACATTTTGCGCGAGACTGTGCTGATCTACGCCTCACTCATAAAAACAAATTATTACTTATTCCATTTCACAAAATACTTGGCTCTTATCACTCATAAATTTTTCCTCTCAAGGATACTCCTCCTTCTTGATATCCTACGGAACGAAACCACAAATACCAGACTCTCACAAAGGAAGAGTATAATGAAACGCTTGTATGTAAACGACTGAAACTGTCCAGTTTAGATATCAACAATCATCGATATTTGAGAGCATCGTGGATGGATTTATCGCAAACTTACATAATATTTAGATTTACGGTCGCAGTTTCAACACTTTAGTGAAGGAGACTCAAGAATTGGAAGGCCTTGAAAGGAGCCGTCAAGAACAAAATAAGGCGTTCTTTGACTCCCTGTACTGCTTCATATTCTCAGCTGATAAGTACAAATCAAACGTGAAGATATTGGCACCTGGAAATAGTCAGAACACGGGTCTGCAGTGTGTAACATCAAGGACAGACAGGCCGTATATTCATTGAGGTAAAAAAACACCTCCATGGTAGATTGAAAGCCAAAGGGGTGTGTCAAAAACTTCCAGTTCATGAGCAGGTGTTTTGATTTTGTACAGGAGTTCAAACAATGCAACCCACTGAAAGTGTACTAGTTATTAAACAGAGAATTAGTGGCAGGGGTCAGACGGTGGGACGGGAGAATCCCCACCTCCAATGATCAGAGAAGGGGGCATGCATCGGGGGCCACAGCCAAGGGAAGATTTGACAAGTGGTTGTCAATTTTCTTTTCCTTTTCCTTGGACAATTCGGGCGATACAACCTTGGGCTTAACAAAAAGAGGGAAAGTCAACCTTAAAATCTGACAGTTTGGGGGCAGTCACGTTCACAACTACCCTATGTACAGTAGACCAGTTTAATACCCATAACTCAAAGAGCTTGAGTAACATGAATCCACTAAATTCAACTCTCTCAAAACCCCAAGGAAATTAAATACGAGGGCTTCAGTTTCCTGTGGTGGGGTATTCGTACATACACTCCCTCGGGCACAATATTTACCTCGTAAAAAGCGATGTTCTCTGAATTCAATCAAACTTAGCAAGGTGTTGATTTGCTGATCATAAAACACTGAGCGCTGGATGTAACGAGTAATGGAAGACGAGTTGCGCGAAGCAGCTATTCAGCGAACACTGTAGCTTTTAAAGCTTTTTTCTTGTCACATTTGACATTTCTAATTTATTACAAGAGTTTACGAAATATTGACAGACCAAAGAAATATAGAGAAGAGAGCATTCATTTTTTACAAAGAAGGCAAAATGACCCCGAATGGCGAAAAGTGTTCCTGATTTATCACATCTATATCACATTTCTATATCTTTAATAATGAAGCAGGGGAGATTTGTGTTCATTCCTAAGATGTTATGACAATGCAAATCTTTGCTTAATTCTGGCTTTCAGCTGTACCTTCAGTTATTTAACTTTCTTTACTCTCTCTGTCCCCTATCTTGTAATTATAGCTACATATGAATTGTTACAGATCAAGGAACCGGGCCATGAACAAACGTTAGCTTTCATTCATCTTCTGTTATTTTATTCTGTAATAACATTGTTTCTTTACGTTCTACAAAATGATTGTGATGTATGGAAAGAAACCAAACCAAACCATTACCGAGGGCGAAAATATAGACTATTTGTTGCTGTTTGGTGTAATTTATTAAAATTCTGAACTCCTTTGTAAGTTTTATCTTGGTGCTACATTATACACGCTGAAACATCTAACCCACTCCTTCAAAAACACTGATATGGACTCTCACCGCGGTCGAATTCGGAAAGCAAAATGTTATAAGCTCTACATGTCACGTAACATAGTCATATTTACAATAAGTAACAAAAATGGACAAGACTTACCTCGTCTGTTCAAACAGCCTGACACAAAAGAGAACTCTATGGAACAGTCCAATTATACCATTCCACTCGACATAAGTATCTCAGCTGCTAGCTTGCTTGCAAGTTTTGTCATCTGATAGACTGAGCGGGTTTAACACAAGGCACGACATGTGACAGTGCCCACGCAGTATAAGAAATGTAATGGGTGTTCAACAACAGGATGGGGAGAATTGAAGCCAATTTTGGGGTTAAATGTATAGAGTTCTCATGAGCAAGGTGTTCCAATTGAAACAAGAGCCACTGGAAAAACTATCACGTATTTGATGATCTGGACTGTGATTGGTGGGCTGTGGTTCGCGCTGCAAAATTTATCCACCAATCAGAATTAGCTATTCTTGTGAGGCACGTTGGGGATATTTTGCTGGAGAAGAATGCTAGCTCTCTAAAAACAGAGGCTGCATCCGAATCTCTTGTCTATAGCTAGGTCTAGGTCTTTGCTCCATTGGAAATGTGTGGAGACGCGCGCGACCTAGCCGTAGCTCTGGAAACCTGTTTCGGACACGGCCAGAGCACGAGAAAAGATGAAAATTGGGCCGTGGAGCATGCGCAATTTCAAAAATCTGGACTTTGTTCAATCTTGGCATATCGTTTAAAGCAATCACCGGAAGCACGAGCGAAACAACGCGACTGACTCCGCAACTCCGCAACTGACACAGCCTTGCTGTTGTGTAATCCATCAAACTCGAAGGCGGCCGCGACGTGTGAGGAAAATCCGTCCGTGTCGTCACGGGTGCGTCCGGTCGGAATCCCTCTTCGGCTCGCGGTGCCTTTGGCAATCGAGGAAGTCTGTCGTGGCCAATTTTAACAAATCGCCAGCACTAATTCCTGAGCTAATCTTACCTTGGAGGATGTATCGATGATTTTTAAACCTCATGTTCATCTTACATTTTTTTATGAAAATAAGATTATATGCAATATAACCTTGATATAATTTTTAGTCTGCGCTCGCTTATTGATTTGGCGCCAAAGTTTTAGACAGATTAACTACAAGTGTCCCTGGATATATTTAGATAAGGAAACCTTTCTACAGGTATCAAAATGAAAATACATGAAGATCATCATCAAGCATTTAGAGAAATTTTCTTTTTTTGTAACGTCTTGAAAAGATTATTCAACAACTCAAAAAGCCGAACACTAACGCGAGAACATGACGCTTTGTCGAATATCTTCGTTCAAATCCAACCGATTCGATCACTCGCCAACCTGGGCAAGGCTCTCGCCATGAGAACCTCCATTCGTATTTGAGCCTACGGAGTGAGCGCATTTTAAGGACACATCAAGACATATTTGACATTGAGTGAGAGGTGCTGTTCCTTGCTCTAGGATTAGTACAACTAAGTTTTGACGATTTGCTCCAAAGTCTTGATACCAAGTGAATTTTAAGTGGCAAATAGGCCTATTGACTGCAAACTCTTTCATTTGAAATCACTTTTAAAATCCAAATTTGTTTCAAATTTTAAAATCTGCCCGCACAAATGGCTGTTTCCCTGGTGCCCAAGACTTGCATTTAGCATATTCTTTCATGTTCCTGAATTTAAAACTTCCTTTTGACAAAGGACTTCAGAGAAAGACAGCAAAATTCTTTCAGTCACCTACAGATGCCTTTTCACATTGGTAAATCCACAGAGCAATACTTCATCAAGTGCCACAAAAGCGGACCTATGTGGGGTGTTGGGGGGGGGCAGAAGGGCGTCAACAAGGCCATTTTGAAGCCTGGGTCTGGCAAGCAGCCGCTTGGCACGGCAGACTGGTCATTAATGTCACTTGCCACCTGGCTTTTCTTATTAAACAGGTCAGCAAATCTCCCTACCCCGGGGGACCAATATCATATCGGAGGAAATTAGTTGGGCTTCTTACTCAGGAAGTGTTTCTGCGTTTAGGAGTGTAAACAAACCATATAACAAGCTATTCAATTCCCTTGTTGGCAGTGTGTCTGGTGGGCTAAATTGGTCGGAACCTTTAACCATTTTTTTTTTATTCCTGCACGCTTTAAGTGGGCACTGGCCAACAAAAGCACGAATGTTAATCCATATAGCTCATTCACCGTGTACATGTACAACTATAAAGTGCACATTGACATACTTTACGGAGTCACCTCCCACCCCAGTTGAACTTTCAACCCATTTACGGATGATTCCTGCTTACCGTCCACCGCGGATTATATCTTTCCGACTATACCTGTGGATTTCCCCCTTATCATTTGATTCTTCAATTTTTTGTGCCTGTGTTAGACTGTTAATGCTGGAACCCCCCCCCCGCCTTAACAACGCTTCAAATGATTCGCAAAATGTGATTTTGCATAAAATATACCCTCGTCGATTCCGGATATGTTTTTCAACATCTCCATTCTCTCTACCGTCCCTCCCCCCAAACAGACGAAGCTCCTCCCCTCCTTTCTCGCCTGGTATTCTGTTGAACCGTGCCAAGACCTCCAAAAAATCACCTGTTAGCATTGGGTTTGGCACTTTGAGCTCTAAACCGTGAATTTATGCGGAAATGTAATTCGCCAGGCAGTCTGCGGGTAATATATGGGTCGTCTGCCGCTGGGTTCCCCGTTGGCTGGCAGGGGAACCTCACGGTATACGACGGGCGACGTTCACCCACGCAGTGGATGAGCTCGTTGAGTGACGTGATTGCTTAGGAATTGGGAGCAATGATATAACCAGATGCTTATTGAAAATGGGGAAATGGTAAACATGACTATAAAACTGTTTAGGATGAGTGTGAAAATAGCTCTTACATTTGAATATAGTCATTATGCCTTTAAGAAGGAAACTTGATTGCGATAGTGGCGGGGTGGGGGGCGTGTCACCAATACACGCCCCTTCCCTAGTGCCACTGATGAGCAATCAAAAATAAGCTTTGTATTAATTGAATATATGTCAAGACAAGCAAGTACCGAGAATAGGTGGCAAGTCGCCACATAGTCGTCTTTACTCTGTAAATTTCTGTCAAAATCCATCGGTGCAATACTCCGGTAGGCCTAAATAATACAACAGGCTTTGCATGGCCGCCATCTTAGGCCTACAAGCCAGTTCTGTTGTTCCACAGGGTATGCACAAAGGAGGTTTCTCTGTGTGGAAGAAAAGAACTGCCCTGCAAGATGGCTACTACGAAAAACCTCTGTCGGCTGAGTTTCAACTTATCGGGCGGTCGATTATCCGCAAGTAACGGGCAACAAATGTTCCCGCACAAAGGTAGAAATAGGTGTCACGATACACTATGTTGACTGCAGCTCGCAACTTTTCTACAGAATCCAGGTATGCCTGACACTCAAGACACGGAATCAAAGCGGGTTGGTGGATGGAAAGACTATTTGAATAATTTGTGAATGACATCTGCGAACACTGTTATAACACCAAATGGTTACCCCATTAATAATACTGTTCCGAATGCCCTTTTATAGTCTTGACCTTAAAATGAATGATAGTATGGTCAGGATTACGACCATGTTAACACCGAATCATAAAAATGCCTTGTTGAAACAATGCAGGACTCCCGCTATTTTGTAACACACTTCATTAATATGTTCGTTCGCTTCGAGCATGTAGACCATGCGTGTGCATAAGATAAAAATTCTGAAAGTTCTTCAAATGCCTTCATAAATTTTCATTTGATGTAATGAGGAAACAGCTGCATAAAAATATCACCAGAACTGAACAATGTCACTGCAATATTACTAATTCCGTAAAAGTTCTATACCGGTACTCTCCACTCAGGCCTTTTCAAACATGGAAACCCTTTGTCCAGCGACAGCTAAACTCAACAGGAAATCACTGTTGCTCTTCATGAGAACAAAATGTGGCGTTATGCATTTATACGGAGAACCCAAAGTGCCAAAGCATGGCTCTAGGAGTAAACACTTCGTACACTACAACGACGCGATTTAGGTCAAATTTACAGGAAAAGGACTTTGGACGCAGGTTTCCGTAGGCAGCATGCGAGGAGATTGCTGAGAAATTACCATATCGCGTCGGGAAAGAATTTGCAGTTGGTGTGGTAATCGTGAGTGGCAGCCTCAGTGAGGCGTTGTGTTGTCTTCTGAGTTCACAGCAGAGGCACAGAGAACGGAACAAAGCCAGTGGAGGGGTCCCTTCATTCCTGTTAATGCCATTACTGCATGGAAGACAGACAAACCTGCACAGACTGTTTTTGGTGTATAAAACGCCTTTGTTTTCTGAAAAGCCTTCTAAGTGTATAACATCGCCTCCAGAAGATTTGGATAAAACATTTTCCTATCTAACATTGAGCTCGGACAGACATAGCATTAATTTCAAACAAATTCCCCAAAACACACACAAAGAGAATATTTTTCATTACTTATATCTCGATTTCACTGCCTTTCGATTAAAAATACAATTTGTGGTTAACTTTATAAATTGCGATTTACAGCCAAAAGTTGAACAGTTCTTTTAAAAATCATTTAATCACTTAAAATATGCAGCACTAGAACATATCTCTAACGCATCATCGCCGTATAAGTAAGCACATTTTGTATAAGAATGGGTACATTCAAATCCCATTCATCGGCTTCTCTTTGCATTTAATTTCAACTCACATGGCTTCTGGCTTATTCGCAATCGCAGTGATGTGTGTTACTCATGAGCACTGCTATGTATGTACAAGAGTTAATTTTTGCTGAGTACACGTATAACGCTATGGCCGTAACTTAACCTTTATAAATATAATCCATGTCAAAATGTTGGCATACTCTTTACAATTAGACGGTGGCATAAGCATTACATGTCTCGATGAAATTTCATTCTGTCTTTACAATTACACAGTGGCATATGCTATTTTTAAAAAATGCTTTATGTCATTTCATCCTATTGGGAGATATATTGGCTGATTGGTGAGTCTTCTTCAGCCTTGCGGGAACAATACACAACGTCAAGAGGTGAAGTCACAAAATATTCTGCAGAAGGCTCGACAACCACTGAGTAATCCTGTCGAGAGGTGTTCTAACCTCAGATTATTTTAGTCATCTTTTCACTGGAAAGCATAAATAAATGACTGTCACAAAGTCATCAAATTTGTTTAACTTCCTTTTCTGTGCATTTCTTACAAATTACAACTGTCTTAAAATTTGATGTAATTTACATTAAAATATCCACTCTCTCCACAGCCAAGAAAATCCAGAATAATGCTGTAAAAATGTTAATAACGTCATGAGTGTGATGGCATGCAAGACCAACTAGGGTTATTTATGTTAGTACTTTGATAAGAATAAATACACATTGCCTGTTATCTGCCCTACTGCGGAAAGTTGGAGGGGTTTTTCAACTACACGATAAAAACACAAAAAAAATTAGCTGAAATTGCTCATCACACATTTATCGCCAATTTAGCTCCTCTTTGATAACAAGAAATTGATTGATGTGATTACATTGCCACCTGCCACCCTCCTTAAAACCAGCTAAGGAGGAGGAACTATCTTTACACGTAGTAATTTTCCATCTCATCATATTATGACCTTTGCAATAAAATCGACGACGGCCAAATGTCAGAATGAACATCTTAAACATGTGTCTTAATGTTTAGGTCAAACGTATTAATGTTTAGGGGCTAAAAACCCATTTAGAATTTGCTCAGCTGCATGTGCGATTGGCTGAAGAAACCTCTCTCATGATCAGTGCAACAGAGGTGTGGCTTCATCACTGGAAGAGCTTGTTCTGTAGGCGGAAGGGAGATGTCAGTGAATTGAAATGAAATACATGATCCTGCAAGAAGCAGGACAGAGCTAAGATCTGGTCGAGGACAATTCTAATCATTCCTCTCAGACTGACTGTCTCTGTGCATCAGTAAACATTTAAACATTCCTGGTGTATGTCTCAGCAGGCTCTGCCATGGAGAGAACAGACTGATTGCACCCATTAAGTCATATAACCCACAGTGGGTGTCAAGTGTTACCAAACATGGGTGTCCCCCACAGTAAAGTGCTCTTAGTGTCATTAATCAGATATCAAGCTGGACAGTCAGTAAAGAACTCAGAGTACTGATGTGCTGAGCAAAATACCAAAAATCGGCTTTAGTTTTGGTAAACTACACTTAAAACACACATTGCTATGGGAGGACGCTGAGTTTGTTGATATTTTATACCCAATTTAGGTCACGTGACTTAGCAGGTGCAATCGGTCTATTAGGACTCATGACTGCAATGGAGCCACATTTACTTACAAGTGGTTTACATGCTTGACAAAGATTTCAAAAGTTAGGGTGTACTGACTTGCTGAATGCACCTCCACATATCACTACAGTAATGATTTCTTCTGAGGAAACAAATGCCTCTAATTTGAATTTGGGGGAAAGTGACCACTTTAAAAGAAGAAAATGCTTATTTTTGTTTTTGGGAAACTGTTTTTTGTCAAAATGGGAGAAAGTGCCTACCCTAGGAAACTATACATGTAAATAAAGCACGACAACATTTCAGAGCTTCAGCCAGGGAAAAGGCAACAAGAACAGTTTGAAAACTGATCAAGAGAATTTGTTAGAGATAAACGTTAGAGTTCGAGGTAGATATTTTCCCCAAACCCAACTGCTGAGGTGGTGGTGCTGAGCTCCAATGTATACCCAACCTGTCCCCTGACACCAACGATGAAATGGTTAATCCTTGATGATAAATTCTCAACAAGAAATCTAATACCTTCGACAGCAGCAGACAGACTTCCACGTCTTCCTGCGTTTCTTCTTCTTCCGTCGGTAGCATCCCGATTCTGGACAGTCGTTGCACTCATCGATGAAAGCCTCAAGTGGTGTGTTGCTTCGATGTCTACCGTGGCATGCCTGCATTCAACCAACCAATCAATCAATTATACTCCCTCTGGGCACACTCCATGCAAAAGTGGAAATTACTTGTACTTTTACCTGCTCAAATATTATTCGTGATTCAAGAACAAAAACAATCTTCTGACAACTGAAAGTGAAAATGAAAGACAGTGCCATCACCTGTTACTGCCACCTGTTACTGCCACAAATATAAAACTGATTGTGTTCCTAGATTATGAATGACAATGATATTACAAGCAACTTGACCAATTTCCACTTTTGATTGGAACTGTCACTCGATCAACTGATCAATCCATAAATCTATTGATAAAATAAACAAATTCTGAAAAACCAATCAATTTATAAACACAATCTTTGATCAATTATGGAAATGATTAATGGAAAATGATTTCATTCAATAAATTAGCCCTCCTACAATCAAGTCAGAAATTGCTCATGTACTCATGTAAACCAATGGCTCTGATAGCAGGTGACAATTTTGTTATGAAACAAATGTCCCTGTCAAGGGAATGGCATGACCAAAACGACACCAAATGTAATCACGAGTCTTACATTTATGAATGACTGTTGAACAGTGTCATTCCAATGAGCACAGAACCACCACAAGCATGTGACACTGTCGCAGAGGCCTAAAGAAGTCACTAGCCAGCGGCTTTAGCCACATCCTATTGATACGTTGATTCCAACACCGCCTCTGTGCCAGTGTATACTTAACACCGCCCTCTACCGTGATTGCACAAGGCCTATAGAAATTCCCACCTTAACAGTCTCGTAGGTGTCCATGATGAGAGCAATGAATAAGCTGAGGATGACGTAGATGAAGAGACTGATGAAGGAGTAGAGATAGAGACGGCTGTAGATCCAGACGATGGTGCTTTTGTCTGACATCTCATCAAAGGTGGCAAACATATCGTCTCCATTAATGAGGCTGTACATGCACTCAATGGCAACATTGAAACTGCGAAACTAAAACAGACAGGACAAACCACAACACTGTTGGCTTTGTATCCGTACAGTGTGTAGATTTTGCTCACTGACGGTCCCGGAAATGGAGCTTTCTTGTTAGTATTGATCATTTCTTTTTGTATTTTGTCTAAAAAAGATATTGGCTTTTGCAAACTGTTTTATCTACACTTCATATGCAATATTTCAACTCATATTATTTTAATTGCATTTTGGGATTTTTGTTCAATACCTGCTGCAAACATATCCAATATACAAATCAATAAACCAGATGTGAACATTGGCAGTGCTTTCAATGAAAGATTGGTCAACTAAAATCTGGAACGGAACGGAACACCTTTTTTTGGGGGGGTAGCTTACCTTATGGTGGTATGGTCCGAGTACAATCCAACCAGAGAAGCCATAGGCCATGTAGAGAATGATTCCGCAAACGATGAATCGTATACAGTTTGGCATGGCATTCTTCAAGGTAATTATCGGGATCTGTCAAAAATATCAGATTTGCTATTAATTAATGTTTCTTTCTCCAAACTACCGTGACAAGCAGGAGGTAGAATTATGAAAACTTACATCATCTGTCCATGAATAAACTCTTTGTCTCTTCGTCTCCAATATCTGACGTACATCTTGCAGAAAGCAACTGGAAATTTTTCCTAACGTTCACTAAATACGGAAGACTAAATTAACAAATGCTTTCTTTGTGGATTTCTAAGTCCCTAAGTATCTAACGAAATAAAGCCAATACCTGAGGCTACTTATCTTTGGTAGAGTGGAATGTCGATACATTCTGAATGTCATTGAGTACTTACATTATATTTTGGGAAGAACCCAAGATATCTCAGAACACCAAGCCACACTAGGAAACAACCGGTACCCAGCAGCAGACTGCATGCATCGTAATCAGTGGTTACCTGTCAGAGCAATCAACAGTTGTCCGCAAACAACTTTAAATTTTTGAATTGTTTGTCCAATGCAAAAAGCAAGAGTTGATAACCAGAGAGACAAAAGTAGAAAAATGTGAGAGTGATATCTTTACCATATTCATTCAATTGGGATGAAAGTCTAGTAAGTCCAAAGTTTAAAAACTTTTAGCCGTCAAATAATTCTCAAATGGGTGGGGTTTACGTCTCAACTGAGCAAGTCAGAGACATAAAAAGTATTGAGACTTGACAAGTCTATGAATAAGTTTGTAGTTACTCCACTTCGAGACCCGACGGTGACAAACCAGATCTCATATGGGATAAAGGTGCAGAAACATCCAACACGGTGCCATTATGTCATGATCAGAAAATTAAGCAAGACTGGTCGATTCATCTCTGATTCTCAGCAAGCAACGAGCGCGTGATATAAAGTTTGCAACATGTGAATCTTTCCATCTCATTTCTAGAAATGAACTGACCTTCCACTCCAGAAGCAGTTTGAGGAGTGACCCGGAGATCGTCAAGAGATCGCTCAGGATGATCATGATGTACCACATATTCAAGAACTCTAACTTTTCCTGCCTACTCAGCTTCCTGTCATAGTAACGCTGGAAGAACGTCTCCGCTTTCTGAGGAGAGGGTGAAGAAATAACGCTAGGACTGTTAACCATTCTTAGGGCACACAGATCATGCTCCTGTCCACAAATATACCAAAGGTATGTTGTCCTTCTCTCAAACTGTGTAGGTAAACAACGAAAGACACCTTGCGACCTTGCAATGTCCCAATGGGTAGATGCAAGCAACTTGTTCATTTACAGCACAAGTGCAGTTTTTTTTGTTCCATTAACCAACACTCTCCAAACAACCAAACAGAGGAACATCAGACGACTGTTTTCATCAAAAGAAGAGGAGATACCTTTTTCAGTCTTCGGCCTCGATGTAACGATCTGAAGCAAAGGAGAAGCGACACTGTACACAGCAACATGATGACGACATCGTAGGCAGCTACCAAGTAACTGATATTCTGTGCTTCTTGCTCTGCGGGAAAGTAGAAAGTTTGGCCCTTAAGAAAGACTCAGCTCCAATCAAAATATCAGCCCCTCTCGCCTGTAACCTTCAAAACTGCGTGACTAACTGATTAACATCAAAGGCTGTGAGTGAAGTTTTTCAAAATATCCCCAAAATATGCAAAATATTGGAAGATGTTGCCTGATCTCCTATGTTGCCATGGTTACAGGCATCTAACTCTCCATGCAGATTTTGGAGTGTCTCTGAAGATACAGGAGGAAGGCTTACACACACAATTAAGAATGTGGACAAATTAAGCAGGCAAGATGTTTCTGACGATTCTTCTCCCCTGTATGACAGTTGTTTACAAACAGGACTGTTTCAGTATCATTTACAAGTAAACAAGTAAACAATATGTAACTTTAGGCTATTACGACTGAATCTTCAGATTCCTACAGATTCTTGTAAATAAAGAAGGATTTTGAAAAGCTACCAAAACTAACCTCCTATGACACTGTTGGCGCAGTAAAAAATGGAATGTTTTTCGGAAAGGGAGACTGCAATACGCCCACCATGGATGCTGTAGTCATAGAGAATCTATAATGACAGAAAAAATTGCACAAGGTAGCGACGTCCTACTTGACCAGATTTTGCAAACAGAATTTCCAGAAAACCATTTCCTAGAGGCACAGTTTGCGTTCGACGCCTCAATGTCATCTTTACTTACATGTTACTTATAACATTTAAAGGAAATATATCACATATTTTAAATTATTTGGCTTGAGCAGAAGTACCCCTCATCGGTTCAAAAGAGCCCAGCTGGTCAAGAGTGTTCGTTTTGTTGGTAGAGACGCAAAACATGCATTTCATATTCGTTCACGAACCAATAAAAGTGAAGTTCCTACCAAAGGAGCCTTCATTTGCTAGGAGAATTGTGCCCTCTCTTGGTCCAGCTCATCAGGGCCCACCCAACATCGTAAATGATATTAATCTGTACACATCTACTCTTAGGTTCCCCAAATGAAATGTTAACCCCACTTTCAATGCAATATGGCCGACTTGTGAATAAAGTCAATTGTTCCATACTCAGATTGGGTAAGAGGAGATGTTATGACAAATGCAAAAATGGAAAAACTCCATCCAGTTCATAACAAGATAAATACACGTACTGTTATGTTGAATCGGACGCAATCTGGAATAGACAATGTCTCCAGGTCTTTCACATGCAAACTACGGATGGAGAATTTCAGTGTCAACTCAATCATGCTAAAACAAAAATAGAAAAGGAAACAGAAATTATAGCTGACTTAAGATCATGTCATGTCCAATTTAAACAAGTAGCAATCCCAAGGTACGTTTTCATCAAGTAACTATTTCAGTTCTCTAAAGTCAAGTAACCAGAAGAATTATCTTAACATCATAAAAGGAAACAGTAAATTGCATTTTAATACACTTCCTTTTTTGTTTTTTAGTGCGTAGTTTACTTTCACTTTCAAGAGTCATTTAAACAAATTTCCAATTCACGACTGAAGTTTAAGAAAGAATAAAGGCTTCAGGTTATATGTACTCTGTCACATGATGTAAAGTAAGCAGATATCCCTCATTTGTTTTTGACTTTTTGGCATCTAAATGTTAGAGTGATAAAATACATTTTGCAAGGTTGATTTAAGTATCTCACCTGTCAAAGCTCATCTGGAAGCCTTTATCACGCAGGAAACTTTTCATGCTAATGTTTTTGTCAGGGGACACTTGAAAGGACAGACAATCTGTGGAGGGAACGATTTTTGTGAATAAACAGTTCAGGAACTTGCCATGGCAGGTCTTTCAGCCAATTATTCTAACTACCTTTATAGAAATGCATATATTTTGGTACAAGTTTCACAAACTGAAATCTAAAATGGGCATGGAACTTGAAAAATCCAAAATCTAGACCAAAATTTTTCAGAAGTTACAGCTCAGGTGTTTCATACACTTCTAGACCCTGCCAGTTAATGTTAAAAGTTTTATATCTATTTTTCTGAAGTTCCTCCAAAACACAAATATACACATGAACCTGAAAATGTTGATTTTCAGATCACATTATACAGTACATGTAGTTATTCCAAAATATAGAGTAGATTCATTTCACATTTACTTTGTTTTGTGATTGTACAAAGTTCTTATACTTGGTAATATCTTACATGTAATACAAATGCACATATTTCAGTGAGTGTATTTTTAAATAACACCAAACTACAAACACTTCAATCAGTTATACTGTAAACAAGGGGAACCTACCAGCAAATGTTCTATAAATTCATGACAAAGTGCCAAAGCAAAACTGCATGTAACCTGGGGTTATCTCTATTTCTTTGCTGAGATGAAAGCCATGAACTTTGACATGCAACCTATGTCAACATAAACTCTTAAATGGATTACAAGAACTGCAATGGAAAACAAAACTTCGCTATCAACGTAGCTTATCTTTCCAGTGATAACAATGGAAGCGACAAGGAAGCAGGAAAAAAACACACAGCCTAAAATGTTTAGGTACAGTGTATGCCAAATAACGGAAGTAGAAAAAACACCACTTCCATCAGAATAATTAGCTGTAACTGAACTTTCCAACTTGTTACAGCTACACCGAAGAAAGCTTCAATGCATCGCTCTACATCGCTATTTTACTTCGCTATTAAATGTACTTGATACAAGTTTAAATCTTCTCTCTTTTATATGGAACAAGAGGAGTCCGGCAATAAAAACGATGACACAGGAGAGGGTAGATTCTGGTCTTGGCCTTGGGCAAATGTTTAGCACATACAGTGTGCATACCTATTTTTGTCGTGAGATTGACATCAAATTGGCCTTGAGAGACATTGAGGTAGGAGTAGTGTTTATTACAGAGTGTGACTGTGTGGATGTCTCTGCTATCTGCTGTCTCAAATTCATACGTGCCAACGGCCACCTTCTCGAGTTGAGAGTACTATTTAAAAAGAACAAAAAGCAAAAATCAAAGTTCTGTCCACAGCAGTAACAAACACCAATTAAGACCATCAGCAAATAGGCCCAAGTACAAATACTACGAGTGGATGTAAACCTGTAATTTAGAAACAACGTCAACCTTCAACTTTGTTGTAAAACCCTGGTTTGGGGAAGCAGCATGTT